CCCACATGACTAGGAAGGAAGCCGCAGTACCATAGCCTACAAAGAACCAACTTCTGCCGACAACCACATGAGGGAGCTTGGAAGCAGATCCTGTCCCTGCTGACACTTGAGATGACCGCAGCCCTGGCTGCCACCTAGATTGCTATGAGGCATCCTGAGCCAGAGGGCCTAGATAACCCTTGTCTGCTTCCTGCCCACAGAAACTATGAAATAGTGCATGTGTGTTGTCTTAAGCTGCTAAGTAATTTGTAATGCAGCAAGATAACTAATACACCTCCAAAATGACAGCAGGGGCTATAGAAGGAAGAACAAAGAGCAGATTGATGGTATGTGTGATGGGAGCCACTGAGTCACAGAATCTCCTGGGGAAGAAGGAAACTAACCTCTTCCTGTCCTCCTATTTAATGCTAGAATCTGCTGGCCTTGGCTGTGATAACAGGGAACTATCTCCCAAGCTGTCCCTTCCACTCATAACCAACTCTACTTGCAAGAAAGCCCTTTTTGGCTGGGAGCAGCGGCTCACACCTATAATTCCAACACTTTGGGAGGCTGAAGCGGGATAATTGCTTGAGTCCAGGAGTTCGAGGCCAGCCTGGGCAGCATAGTGAGACCCCATCTCTGCAAAAAAACACACAAAAATTAGCCAAGTATGGTGACACACACCTATAGTGGCAGCTACTCAGGAGGGCTGAAGTGGGAGGATCCCTTAAGCCCAGGAGGTCAAGGCTGCAGTGAGCCATGATCATACCACTGTACTCCAGCCTGGGCAACAGAGCTGAGTCCCTGTCTTTAAAAAAAAGAAAGGAAAGGAAGGAGATGGGAGGAAAGGGGAGAGGAGGGGAGGGGAGGAGAGGGGAGGAGGGGAAAAACCCTTCTACCTGGAGCACAACCTTTATTCCTGTAACCTTACCCCACCCACTGTGATTGTCCTGATTCTGCCCTTAGGGCCACAGAAAGCAAGACTAATTTCCTCTTTTCAGCATGACAGCTCATGTAGGTATGGGTTCAAATCCCAGCTCTGCCACTTAAAAGCTGTGTTACCGTGAACAGATCCCATAACTCTTCAGTGCATCATCTGTAAAATGGAGAAAATAAGAGCATCTGCTTCATAGGGCGGTGTTAGGCTTTAAGTAAGATAAACTCATAGTGTTCTTAGTACAAGTCTTGACTCAGAGCAAGTGCTCAATGTTATTCTCCATGCCTACTACAGCGGATTAGACATGCCTGAAATTCGTTCACTCCTCCCTTCAAGACAGGGGGTCTTGGTTCCCTCCTTTTGAATCTGGGCAGGTTCTGCCACTGCTTGGCCAATAGAACGTGGTTCAAGTGACCTGTGCTAGTTTCAGGGTCCAGGGCTTAAAAGACTTGCAGCTACCCCTGTCATCTCTTGCGACGCTCACCTATGTGACCTGAGCCTAACTGCCCTGAGGCCAACCATGCTGAAGAAGCCACATGTGGAGCTCTGGTCAACAGTTCCAGCTGAACCCAGCCTCCAGCCATCCCTACCCAAGTGCCAAACGTGGGGATGAAGCCGTCTTAGATTCTCCAGACCAGCCCATCCACCAACTGAGCAGCACCAAGTGACTTCAGCTAATGTCACATGAAACAAAAGAATCGTCCAAATGAGCGCTGCTCCAACCCCTGACCCACAAACCCAGGAAAGACAATAAAATGGTGGTTGTTTGAAGCTGCTAAATTGTGAGTGATTTGTTGCATAGCTGTAGATAACTGGGGAAACCATTGTCAAATATTTGAAGGTAACTGTTCGCTTCCACATTGAAACTACCTCTCTCAGCTGATGCTCACATGATAGGGTTTTGGGCCTTAGGACCCCCGTGATCAGCTGTCTTCTGGACAACTGAGCCCAACAATGAACATAGCCCTCAGGGCAGGGGGGTCTGCTCAACTGCGCCAGTTAGGACTCCATCTAGAATAATTTAAGCAAAAAAGAAATGATTGGCTTCAGGCATGGCTGGATCCAGGTGTTCCAAGATATTGTCAGGCTCCATTTCCTTTGTGATTATTTTATTTTTGGGCCTTCTCACAGAGCCAAAAAGCTTTAGAAACTCAATCAGCTTCACATCCTCTCAGGTTCAAGTCCAGATGGAAAGAGTATCTGCCATTCTCCCAACATTCCCAGCAAAAGTATCCCTGATTCTCTTTGGTTTATGACTGTGTGCCCCAATCAGAGGCAATCACTGTGACTAAGTAGGTGGAATGGCCTAGGAGTTCACAGATGGGACCTACTCCATCAAAACCACATGGACTGGGAATAAAGAGAGGCGATTCTTCAAAGAAAAACCAAGGATATCATCACAGGGGAAGGATGAGTGGATGGCTGGGCAGCAGACCCATGCATATCCACCTCTGCAGTTAAAAGGTGAATGAAAAGCATAACCTCTCTCATTCTACATGGGCCACTTCTCTTAATGCAGCCCAGGGCCACATCGTCATCTCACATTGATGACTCACACCAGATATTCAGGGGATGTTTTTCCTTATCCAATGTTGCTCGGTTTTACTCCCTCATCCCCTGCCAAGTCAAAGATGCAAATGTGCAAGTGGGTCCTCCCTCTTCTCTGCCCCAAGCACAGTGCAGTGGCTCACACCTGTAATCCTAGCACTTTGGGACGCCGGGGTGAGTGGATCACCTGAGGTCAGGAGTTCGAGACCAGCCTGGCCAACATGGTAAAATCCCATCTCTACTAAAAATAGAAAAATTAGCCAGGTGTGGTGGTGGTGCATGTAATCCCAAATACTCAAGATGCTGAGGCAGGAGAATCACTTGAACCCGGGAGACGCAGGTTGCAGTGAGCCAAGATTGTGTCACTGCACTCCAGCCTGGGCAACAGGGCGAACCTCTGCCTCAAAAATAAGTAAAATAGGCTGGGCATGGTGGCCCACACCTGTGAGGCTTCTGGGGGCATGGAGATGAACAGACTAGGCCTGTGGACTGCTCCACCTTCCCTGAATCATTATCCCTCCCTCCCCTCATACAGTCAAAGTGATTCAAAGGAGACAGCTCAGGCCCAGAGCAAGTTTTACCGCCAATATGGCTGGCACAAACCCAGGGCTAGAACCAATGCTTTTGAGGGCAAAATTAGCCCTTCTGTTTCTTCACAGAATTGGATTGTTTGCCTTGAGTGGATAGGTGACCATCTGAGTTATTAGCAAACAGGGATTTGGTATATATTGTGTGTATACATAAACAACAACAAAAAAAATCAGTCCACTGCCCAGAGAGCTCTCATCCACGGGGCCGCCAGACACCATGAGATTTCAAAGAGGTTGGCTTTAAAATCAGAGGATATTTGGATATAAATTCTAGCACAACCCAGTCATTTGATAGATGTGTAAACCAGGGTTCAGAAGAGTCCAGGCATGTAATTGCCCCACGGTCACTGAGCAAGTGAGTGGCAGAGTGATCACTGGAATTTAGCGCATCTGAGAGCTCACCCCTCCTGCCCTGTTTGGTATTTTTACTTAAGTGGGCACACAGGTTCCAGGGTGGCGAAGAGTTGTTTGTTTTCATTTTGTAATCGGCCTTCATACAAGGTGGGGGCTGGGAAGCGAGGAACAGTCCAGGGCATTACCCCCATTAATTCATTTAACAAATATTTATTAAGCGTCGACTGCAAACGTGGCCCTGTGCTGGGAGATGAAGACACAATTCCAGAGCAGGGGGGCAATGACTGCCCTTGGAATTTCCAGTGATCATGGGTTGGTGAGGAAGAGCAGAGACACCAATCCAAGAGTCACGGCAGTTCATACATTCCACAGGCCGGGAAAGTGCCAGCAGGGGAAAGAACAGGCTGTTTACTAGCACCTTCCACAGGCAGCCACGGGCATGGGGCCCAGGACAGGGTCCCCAGAGGAAGTGATGGTTCATCTGAGCTTACAGTAAGAGCTGCAAGGACAGGCTGTCCTCCCCCGCCCACCACCTCACTAAACTCCCACGACAGCAACTTGTACTCCCTCAGCCTTCCAGGAAGCTTCCAGTAACCACTTCCTGACTCCTAGCATGACACACTTCGGGCAGTCCGAGGCTGGTGACCTAAGACGGTAGCACAGCGCCAGACGCATGCAGGCAGGGAAACAGGATGTGCCTCTCCAGACAAGCATGTGGACGCCACCTGGGCTCTCCCCCTCAGCCTCCGCAGGGAAAGAACATTCCTGTGGGGTTTTCCCCTTCCAAATGTCTCAGAGCCCTTCCAGCTAGCTCCTGCTCGTTCCTTCCTCCTCAAGCTAGAACACAAATCCTTCCCTTCCCTGCCTGGCAAACATTTTCTTACCCTCAGACCCCAGGCAACGGCCCACCTTCTCCCAGGCTGGACAGGGTCTCCTCTTCTCTGTTCCCCCAGCCCCTGAGCTTCCTGGGACCAAGCTTGTGGCTTCTCGCCCTTATCCTCCCTCCTTGGTGTCTCTATGTTAGAGGGCCGTCAGCATCTGCGGGGGCTTGGTGGCGGTCACTGCACTCTGCCACTCGCTAGTTGTGTGACCCTGGACAAGTAACTTCTCTGCGTCTGCAGTTTCTCCTCTCTGCAGTGAGAATACTGGAGAGTCCTTATCTTACGGGTTGTTACAAGATTAAGTGACATCTCACACACGACACACTTTCTACAGTCCCTGTTGCACGCTAAAGCACTCAACATGCAACGGATATGTCACCAGTAACCACCCCATGGGTTTACTATGATGCTGCACAATTAATTATTAAGCCTTGACTGCCACAGAGTTGTAACCTGTGTGCACTTTGAACCGGTTTACCGTGCAAACAGCATTCCCAAGTCTCGCTTTCACCTGCGCCCTAGCGGCTCAGCTTCAAAAGTACAGGACAGGGGGGGAGGGCAGCTGTACACAAGGCGGAGGGCAAGGGGCAGGGTGCTGGGCGCGCGGCGTGGGCACCCGGCACCGGGAACACTACGTCTTCTCGCTGCACCCAGCCCGGGGCGCACGTGGGCCGGCTTCCGGGAACTGACCGGCCGCGGCCCGTGTGCAGAGCCGGTGCGCCCGGCCCCCTGAGCGCAGTTTCACGCGGAGCAGCGAGTGACTCAGCAGCGCTGGGCGGGTGCAGGCCAGGGCGGGGATTTTGCACTCGCCCCGGCTCTTTCCAACTATAAACACAGCTCGCGGCGCTCAGCCCCACCACGCCTCCTCCAAGTCCCAGCGAGTTCTCGTGCAGCCGTGTCCCGACTCCAGCCGCCTCTTCAGCTCGCCATGGACCCCAACTGCTCCTGCACCGCCGGTAAGGGGCTGGGGATGCCCTGTAGCGCCAGAAAAGCAATTTCTGATCCCGTTTTCTTTCTCTGATCACTCAATTTCAGGGCAGGAATTGCTCCTTCCCAAAGCGTTTTGGGGTGTCTTTTTCCCTATTCTAGGTGGTTCGGAGCCCCCTTTTTACCGTTAAGGAGATCTGAGTTAATGGCTTGCTCAAGTTACCAGGAATTGGTTGTGGACAGAGAAACTCGGCCCCGGGCTCCTAGCACGCCGTCCCGCCTTCAGGTATCCAGGGACCGTTCTCACCTCTGTCTTCTCTCCTTTCAGGTGACTCCTGCACCTGCGCCGGCTCCTGCAAGTGCAAAGAGTGCAAATGCACCTCCTGCAAGAAAAGTAAGTGGGATCCTCTCTTTCCTCTACCCCCTCACTGTCCTCCAGCCTGTCCCCAGCCCTCTACATCATCCTCAGGGGAAGTAAAGCAGTCTGAGGATGCCCCATTGCATGGAAGTTGTTGCCTCCTCAGTGATTCTTACTAGGGAGAGCAGGAATCCTTCCCTGTGTCCCTAGTACTCATCTCTGCTACCTCCTCTCTGTCCCCAGGCTGCTGCTCCTGCTGCCCTGTGGGCTGTGCCAAGTGTGCCCAGGGCTGCATCTGCAAAGGGGCATCGGACAAGTGCAGCTGCTGCGCCTGAAGCCAGGACAGCCCTGCTCCCATATGTAAATAACATGACCTCTACAAACCTGGATTTTTTTTTTATTTACAACCCTGACCCGTTTGCTACATTCCTTTTGCTATGAAATAATGTGAGTGATAATAAAAGAGCTTTGACTTGATTCTGCCTCTGGTTTCCTTTATATGCCTTAAAAATAAGGGACTGGGGTGAGGGGTTGAACTAGGAGGGCAGAGACCTGGCCTATGGATGGAAGTGTGAGCTGCTAAGAAACAGTGTATTCTGGCAAGCCAGGCTACCACACTGAGTTTCATCTTCTGTAAAACTGAATGGTGTTGTGCCAGATCATATGGGGGCAGGAGGGACACATACACGATCAGTTTCAGTGTCATGTCAAATGTGGCACAGAAACTTTGCCATTCCTCATTTTTGCTTTCTGATTTCCCTGCCCAACTTCAGTTATTTATGGGATTTTAGACTTGAAAGTGACTCCAAGGGGTGATATCCAACTCCCCAGTGGCTAGAATCTGACATTGGATTTCCAAAACTCCCTGCGGTGAATGACCAGTTTTGTTTTGTTTTCCATTAGTCATAGACCTAAATTCTGGTAAAATAATGAGTTAACAAGAAAATGACACAACGACCATTTTTTAGATTCAACAGGAAAATTTCAATAAATATTCAAAGAACAAACTACATAGGAAAAATAAAAGAATTAACCAGCACTACACATGTGTCTAGGGGTTTCCAGGTTTGCGTCCTGGAAACAGCTCTGAGACTGGCCTGAGTGTATGGCTGGCACACCCTGAGCAGGACTGATCCAGACATCCCCACAAGGAACCATCAGGCTTGGCCTGCCCAGTGTCACTGATGACACTCGCAGACCCCTGAGAGCTCCTTGTCGGGCCTTGGTTCTGAATCTTTGTGAGTTCCTCCCAAGGTCAGGCTGAATTTACTCCTCTCAAATTTCAGCCGTTGGCTACTTAAACCAGCAAAATAGCTGGGGATGTGACGGGAAATGCCCAGCATGTTCCCAGCAAGATGAAGTGTGTGTGATCGTGGGTGGCAGATGAAGTTCTTCCTGTTTGTCCACAACTGGGGTGATGGCATTCAGCAGTTTGGAGAGTGTGGTGGCACTCATTAGAAAGGAGTGAAGCTCTGAGAGACTTGTAATTAAAGCCAACGTTAGTCCCCCTGGCTATGTGGAGGGAATGTTATTTGATGTTCAGTCAAAGAGGATGATGAGTCACTTGGCCCAGGAATCAGGAGCATACTTGCCTGAAGCTGCTCCGTATAGAGTTTTAAAGGCAGCCTGTGCCAAGGGCTTGGGTTTTCATGTCAGGCAGTGCCTAGCTCACAGCCCACTTCACCACTTACTGGCTGTGTGGCCTGGGCAAGTCACTCAACCTCTCTGAGCCTCCATGGCCTCATCCGTAGAAAGAAGATGGTATCCCTGTTTATGGATTAAATGAGATATTGGCCTGGCTCCTGGGTAGGGTTTAATGACCATTAGGATCACTCTGTTTACATGGACGTTCTTGGAGACAGAATCTCTCTTGATAAGCTCTTGGTGAAAAACGGGTCTGGGAAGAATTACTCCAGGTGGGAGGCTGGGGAGTGGAGTAAAGCCTTCCTGACTGTGTACCAGGGGAGGATGGATGACCTTCTACACAAAGTCTTCGGGGATTAAGATGCTGCCACAGCATTTGAACAAACATAAGAACCATTCTAATTCTTCCTGTCATCTGAATACCCCATGAGCCAGTCAAAAGTGAATGTGCAGGAACAAAAGTGATTATGTCACCTTCCAGAGTGGTTAAGCAACCTGCCCAAGGTCACACAGCTTAGAAGTCAGAGGTCAGAACCTCCATTACAGCTGGCCTCTTGTCTTGGCTACAGCTGGCAGATCATGTTGTCAGTCGGTGCTAAGCCCTGCCTCTCAGAGTTCAGAGCTGGGTCAGTCCTTGGTCAGTTAGCCCAATTGTGTCCCTGGCTTGAGAGGTGGCATACTGAAACTGAGGGGTCACAGAGCTACACAGGGGGCATGACTGCCAGCTCAGTGCCCTTGCTACTGCTGTGTCTGTGCCAGATGTTCAGTGTCCTTGTTTTTCACAGAATTACAGGTGTGAGCCACGCGGCCCAGCCCTTGTTTAAAATATTTCTGGCCATAGAGAAGTGTTGTTGACATACCTGGGCCAGAGAACGCTTTATCACGGACACTTCCCTTGAAGATGCTGGCTGGATTTAAATCAGTGCACAACTTTTCATCTCTTGATGACTAGCCAGTTACTTGAACTCATTCTTTGTAAATTTTCTCTGACTAGCAAAACCAGTTCATAAACAGTATTTCCATTTAGGATGCTGTGAGGATTCAAAGAATGAAAGTGTTTGAAAAGGGACTAGTGGTGGGGCATGGTGGCTCCTGCCTGTAATCCCAGCCCTTTGGGAGGCTGACGTGGGCAGATCATGAGGTCAGGAGTTCAAGATCAGCCTGGCCAACATGGCCTAACCCCGTCTCTACTGAAAAACACAAAACTATTAGCCAGGCGTCGTTGGTGGCACCTGTAATCCCAGCTACTCAGGCGGCGGCTGAGGCAGGAGAATCTCTTGAACTGGGAGGCAGAGGCTGCAGTTAGCCGAGATCACGCCATTGCACTCCAGCCTGGGCAACAGAGCCAGATATTGCCTTAAAAAAAAAAAAAAAGGACTTGTATAGATTTAAGGTTATGCAATAATCAGGTATAATGAAGAGAAGTAACTGGATGTCTTTTAAAAAAAATTTTTTTAGAGACATTGACTCTCTGTCTTGTCCAGGCGTGATTCAAACTCCTGGACTCAACTGATCCTCCCGCCTCAGCCTCCTAAGTAGCTGGAACTGCAGCTTCCCACCACCTCTCCCATCTTGCTTTCTAATTTAAAGCAGGGTCTGCGTATCACCTTAAGTCATCTCTCCTTGGGGACATCTCACATGTCCAGAACTGCCATTCCGTGGTGGGGCCGCCCTAAGGCTGTGGGGAGCGTGGAGGCTTATGTGCAAAGGAGGACCTGGACAAATGCGCCCCCATATCCTCTCAGGTGAGGAGAATGGACTGGAGAGAGAGGCCGACCTGGACGGAGGAGCGAGTCCGAGGTACCTAGGTGTGGACGGGGACAGGCATGGCAGGGAACGAGGAGAAAAGAAAGCCACATTGCTGGCAGTTGCTCTGCACACAACTGGCTCGCAACCGCACCCTCCCCTCTCTGCACTCAGCAGACCCGGGGACTGAGGCAGGAGGCTGCACATGGACTCCGGGACAGGCCGAGCGGAAAACCGTGGGGAGACGAGTGGGGTGGACACGACCGCGACGCCAAGGCTGGGTTCCCGGATCGCGCGGGAAGGGGGGGCGGGGGAAGGCAACCTCAGGGAAACTGGGAAAGGCTGCCGGGATCTCGGGGACACCGCGTACCGCCGGGCGCACAGCCCCTCCCGCGCGAGCGAGCGCCAAAGGTGCCGCTGTGTGCACCAAGCAGAGCTCAGGGGATTGTGCGCCCAGCCCCTCAGCTGCGCACAGCACAGCCCGGGACCGCGGGCCACTGGAACTCTGCGGAGCGGGTGCAAGCGCGGGGCGGGGCCTCTGCGCCCGGTCCCTGCCCGAACTCTAAAAGCGGCGGCGGCTGTTGGGCCCCACTACGCCTTACAGGTGCCTCAGAGCCTCTTGACTTCTCGCTTGGGATCTCCAGCCTCACCGCAGCTCGAAATGGACGCTAACTGCTCCTGCGCCACTGGTAAGGGAAGCCCGGCTCTGCGCCTTGGGATCCCCATTTCCGAGGCCCAGGACAGAGGATCTCTGGGTTTCAGGAGGTCGCTTTTTTTTTCGGGGAGGGGTTTGGGGGGAGGGCGCCGGGAGGGAGTCCTGCTCCGCCTCCGGGTTGAAGCAATTCTCTGGGCTCAGCCTCCTGAGTAGCTGGGATTACAGGCGCATGCCACCACGCCCGCCTAATTTTTGTATATTTGGTAGAGGACGGGCTTCACCGTGTTGGTCAGGCTGGTCTCGCTCTCCTGATCTCGTGATCCGCCCGCCACGGCACTCCCAAAGGTGGATTACAGGCGTAAGCCACCACGCCCAGCCTGGAGGTCATATTTGGAGTTCTGAGAGGAAGGGGATTCCTTTACTTCTTTAGGTGTTTTCTTCCTGATCACACCCCTGAGAGCATTGCCCTCCTCCCTGGGCCTCTAAGTAAGAGTTCAGGATACTGAGGCTCAAGGCTGTCCTGCTGCAAATCACCCAGTTGGTCAGGGGACTGCTGGCTGGTCCCCAATGCTCTGTCCAGGCTCTGAGCAATCACGGTGGATGGGGGCTGGAGACATTGAACCCTCAGGGTTCAGGACAGAAGGTTCTGGCTCTCAATCTCAGTATTCCTGGGTTGTGTGTGCACCTGGGACCTTCCTGGTGGGGTAAAACAGGAGAGTGCTTCCCCTTCCCAGCGTGAGTGGAGAGGACATGGGGCTTCTGTTCCTCTGTCCTGAGTGGGAAAGGAGCTCTGAGGGCTGGCCCTGCACAGAGGAGGCGACACTGGAGACTCATTGACTCACTGCTTCTGCATCTCACTCACTGCCCACTGCCTTTTCTCTTCCTTGCAGGTGGCTCCTGCATGTGCACCAGCTCCTGCAAGTGCAAAGAGTGCAAATGCACCTCCTGCAAGAAGAGTGAGTGTGAGGCCATCTCCAGGAATCTGGGGCTGTGGCTAAGGTTGGGAGGGAGCCCGAGGCTGGCCCTGAGTGCATCCTTTTGAGGAACTGGGCTTTCTTTGTCCTTGTTGGCCGTGTCATTTTCTCTCCATGCTTTGTGCCCTGAGTTGAGACAGAACAGCAAATATTTTTTCTGTTGCGACACAGACCCCAACTGTACCACCCATGGTTTCAGAACAGAATTGCAGTAAGCTAAAAAAGCATCCTCTGGGTCTGGGGTCTGAGCTGGAGCCAGGCTTGCTATTGGGGCAGGGAGGTGCCTGGTCAAGTCTACTGCCACCTCTCACTCTCCCCCTCTTCCCCAGGCTGCTGCTCCTGCTGCCCTGTGGGCTGTGCCAAGTGTGCCCAGGGCTGCATCTGCAAAGGGGCATCGGAGAAGTGCAGCTGCTGCACCTGATGTGGGGACAGCTCTGCTCCCAGATGCAAACCAACCTGCACAAACCTGGATTTTTAAAAATACAAACCTGAATCGTTTGCTGCATTTTCTTTTTCTATTAAATATGTGAATGACAATAAAACAATTTTGACTTGAATCTTACTCTGGTCTTCTTTGTGTGGCCTTGGCAAAAATGGACTGTGGTGGGAGTTGGACAGGGAGTTTAGAGACCAGGCTCTGGGTGGAAATGTGAGCCACTAACAATGTGAACAGCTTCAGGAAGCCAGGCTACCTCACTGAGTCTACACTGCTGTAAAGTGGCATTGCACTGTGCCATACCACATGGGTGGGGGCCATACATGGCCGCTTCCAGTCTCATGTTAAATGTGGCACAGAAACTTCATCCCTGATTTTTGTTTTCTGATTTTCCTGCCCAACTTCGATCCACATTGGATTTTAGGCTCTAAAGTGTCTACAGTGCTGGAACCCAACTCCTCAGTTCCTTGAATCCTACATGGGTGCTATGATTCAGATGTTTTGTCACTGCCAAATCTCATGTTGAAATGTGACCTCAATATTGGGTCTAGAGGGAGGTTTTGGGATGATGAGGAGTGATCCCTAAAGAATGGCTTGGTGCCATCCCATGGCGAAGAGGGTTCTTCCTCTGGTAGGTCACTCTGCAGCTGGTGGTTTAAAAGAGCCAAGCACCGTCCCCTTCTCTCTCTTGCTCCCTGTCTCTCCATGTGATGTGCCTTCTCTCCTTTGGCCTTCTGCCAGGATTGTAGGCTTCCTGGGACCCTCACCAGAGATAGATGCCTGCACCACACTCTGCACAGCTTGCAGAAGCAGAACTCGAAACAAACATTTTTTCTGTTTAAATTCCCTAGTCTCAGGGATTCCCTTCCAGCAAAGCAAACAGACTAACACAAAGGGGCTTTTCAAACACTATGGTGAAGGGACAGTGTTTATTTCCTATCCATCGTGACTCAAACCTTGGTAAATGTAATTGTATCGATTATGGAGATAATGAAATAAAAAAAGACACAAAACCAATATTTAATATTCAACTAGAAAAAAATTCAATGAATACATGAAGGAATAACAGAAAATGAAAGATGTACAAGCTTTGAACACATGATGATGTTCACTGCAGACAGGAAACAGCAAACTAGACCAGGTGCAGTGGCTCAGGCCTGTCTCTAATCCCAGCACTTTGGGAGGCCATGGTGGGTGGATCACTTGAGGCCAGCGGTTCAAGAGCAGCCTGGCCAACATGATGAAACCTCATCTCTACTAAAAATATAAAAATTAAACGGATATGACATCATGTTCTGGTAATTCCAGCTACTTGGGAGGCTGAGGCATGAGAGTTGCTTGAACCCCCGAGGTGAATGTTGCAGTGAGCCAAGATTGCACCATTGCACTCCAGCCTGGGCAACTGAGGCTGTCTCAACAAAAAAAGAAAGAAAAGAAAAGAAAGAAAAGAAAAGAAAGAAAGAAAGAAAGAAGGAAGGAAGGAAGGAAGGAAGGAAGGAAGGAAGGAAGGAAGGAAAGAAAGAAAGAAAGAAAGAAAGAAAGAAAGAAAGAAAGAAAGAAAGGAGCAAACAGGCTCCAGTGTGTGACTCACACGCCCTGAGCAGCACTGCCCACCACATCCCCACAAGGGACCATCAGGCTTGGCCTTCCCAGAGTCACTGACAGGACACTCCCTGACCCCTGAGAGCTCCCTGTTGTGAAATGGCTCTGAATATTCAGGAATTTCTCCCAAGTTCGGGCTGAATTTGTTCCTCTTTCAAATTTCGGCCCCTGACTACTTCAAACCAGTAAAGTGACTGGGAATGTGGAAGGAAATGCCCGGCATGTTCCTGACACAATGAAGTGTGTGTGATCATGGGTTCCACATGAAATACTTCACGTCTGCCTAAGCAGGAATGATGGCGGATTCTGCAGTTTGGAGAGTGTGGTGGTGCTCATTAGGAAGGAGTGAGGCCCTGGCTGACTTGTAATTAAAGCCAACAATTAGTTCCACTGGCTATGTGGAGAGAATGCAATTTGATGTTCAATCAAAGTGGAAGATGATCCTCCTGGCCTAGAGGTGAGGACCAGGCTTGCCCACTGCTGCCCTGTGAAGAGATTTCAGAAGGCAGCCTGCGCCTGGGGCATGGGTTTTGGTGTCAGGCAGTCCTGGTTCACAGCCCACTTCTCCATGTACTGGCTATGTGGCCTGAGTGCATCACGGAAACTCTCTGAGCCTTCACTTCCTTATTTGTAGAAAGCAGATTGTATCTCAATGCAGGGATTAAATGACAGCATGGTCTGGCCCCTGACTAGGGTTTAATAAATAGTAGCAATCATGATCATTCTCTGTACACTGGCTTTTTTGGAGAATGAATCCTGTTAAATAGCAAAGCTAAGAGAACGCCTAAAGGTTTGATGTCAGATACAGAGGAATGACTGCCCTTTCTGTTACCACCTGCACCATCTTTTAGTTAATATTTTACATTGAAATTATTAATGTTTTCTTAAACATACTTTTATGCGGTCCCGCGGTGTGCACCAAGCAGAGCTCAGGGGGTGGTGCGCCTGGCCCCTCTGCCCCGCGCAGCCCAGCCCAGCCCAGGACCTCTTTCCTTGAAGTAAGCATTTATCATGCTTCTTAATTTAATGCACAGTCACCACATCAGGGCAAAGATCTCTCCCTTGGTGACGTCCCAAGCTTTGGACGTCCTTGGTCTTGGTGGGCCAGCTAGGCTGTGGGAAGCCCAAAAGAAGTTAAAAAGCAAAAGAGGTCTTAAACAAATGTGCCCATCACCCTCTCAGGAGTGGAGAATGGAAGGGAGGGAGGCGGGGCCCTGTGTCTGGCCTGTTGCTGTGAAGAGGAGAAACGAGGCCAAAGGACCTGGATGACTATGCAGGTAGGCGGAAGGTCACATGGGAGGCCGGTCCTCTGCACACAACTCCCTTGCTGCGCTTCCCACCTCGGTCCTATCTAGTAACGTGAGCATTAGGCTGGGGTTGCATACGGATTCCCACGGAGGCGAAGTTCAGGTCACTGGTGCGGGGTGCGAGGGTGGGGATACCGCCACCACCTGAGGCTGGGTTCCCGGACCACAGGAGTGGACTGCAATCTGCGGGAAATTCCGGAGGGCCGGGATTATAGTCAGGACGCCGCGTAACGCCGGGAGCGCAGCTCCTCCAAAGCGAGAGAGAGCCAAAGGGCCGCCCTCAGGGTGCCTCCTGCGCCCGGGGAGGATACTGCGCCCCGCCCGCCTGCAGCGCACAGCCAGGCCCTGAACCCGGGGGCGGCGCTGACGCTGCGCGGGGCGGCTGCCAGACCTGGGGCAGGGTGTCTGCGCCCGGCACCCTGCCCTGACTCTAAAGTCGGAGGCCTGATCCTGGGCTCCGTTCTGCCTCCCACCGGCCAGCCTGTTTTTTCGCCTCTGGTTTAGGAACTCCAGCCTCATCTGACCTCCAAATGGACCCCAACTGCTCCTGCGCCGCTGGTAAGGGACGCCGGGCTTCGGGTCTTAGGGTCTTCATTGTCGTACTACAGAATAGAAGGTCCCTGGGAGAGGAGGCAGGTGCATTTTGAGCTCTACCTAAAATGGACTCCTTTGCTTTGCACTTCTCGAGCTTTCTCCCCGCCAAGCACCTTCCTCACTACTTAGAACACTGCCATCTTCTCAGGGCCTCCCATTTCTGAGGCGAGAGGACAGGCTGAAAATTGCCCGACTACAGGTCACCCTCAAGGCCAGAGGGGTGCTGAACTGGGACCCAGTGCTTTGTCCAGCATTTGCGCTGCCTGAGGCCGATGGGAAGCACGACACTCACCGCTCACTGCCTTTTTCTTCCTTGCAGGTGGCTCCTGCACCTGTGCCAGCTCCTGCAAATGCAAAGAGTGCGCATGCACCTCCTGCAAGAAGAGTGAGTACAGGACCATCTCCAGGAATCTGGGGGCTGGGCAGAGTCAAAGGAGGGATCTCCACAGGCGGGAGCAGACCAATGATGAGCCTCCCACATCTCCTTGCTTCAGCAAATGACTTAGGATCACAACTGGAAGAACACTAGAGATGGTTAATTCCCAATCTTCATTCTTACCATGGGGAAGCTGACACCAGGTGCGCACACCAGCATCCCAAGCACAGACCTGACACTTGAGGACTTTCCTCACTTAAGTGTATCATTCTGGGAGACTGTCCTTCCTTTTACTGCAAAAGGCATGTCACTCCCTCTCCAGGCTTCTACCATGTCCTGGGCACAGGAGGGGTGGGCAGCTTTTTCATGGCAAGACCCTCACCCCAAATATTCAGGAGTTGTCTACTGACAAGCAATGCCACCCTGAACTAAGGGTCCTTGGGGCTGGAGGCAAAGCTTGAGCCAGGCCTCTGTTGGGGCAGGGAGGTCTCTGGTTGAGTCTGCTCTGACCTCTCACTCTCCCCTTCTTCCCCAGGCTGCTGCTCCTGCTGCCCTGTGGGCTGTGCCAAGTGTGCCCAGGGCTGTGTATGCAAAGGGGTATCAGAGAGGTGCAGCTACTGTGCCTGATGTCAGATGTAAATAACGCAACCCTTACAAACCTAGAGGTTTTTTTTTTTAATACAAGCATAACCCATTTACTATGTCTGTTTTCTCAAGTGAAACATAGGAATGACAGTAAACATTGTTGGCCTTATTCTGCCTCTGGTTTTTTTGAGGGGTGTCCTGACATAAGAGACCCCAGACCCAGCAGAGCTGGGATCATCCTATATACTGAGTGCCCTAAAGCAAGTTGGGTTACCTGTCTCTGGTCAGTTTCCTAGCTAAAAATGTAACAGCATCATGCCAGATGATTTGAGGGCACAGGAATCAGTCATGGACCTAAGCTTTGGTGAGATAAATTGAATGAGTATGAAAAATAAAAATACAAAGTTCATTTTTCATATTCAACAAGGAAATCTCAAAGGGACATTAAGAACAAAATAACAGAAAAAATAACTACTAATGCTGCACGTCTGTTGTAAGGTGTAGTGATATTCAGTAGGAAGGAGGAAGGTCCTGGGTGTCTGGTAATTCATGGCAACTGTTAGTTATCTGGCTATTTGGTGAGGCAATTGCTATCTGATGTTCAAAAAGGAAGAGGAGTCACGTGGCCCAAGAGTAAGCATCGTGCTGGCTTAAAGTGCTTTGTGAATAAGGGATTTCAGAAGGTAGCCTGGCCGGGTGCAGTGGTTCACACCACCTTGGTGGCTCACGTCGTGCTCTGCTCAAACCAAGGCAGGAGGATTGCCTGAGGCCAGAAGTTTGAGACCAGCCTGGGTAACATAGTGAGAACCCCTCTCTATGTAAAACAAAACATTAAAATAAAACAAGAAGAGAAGGCAGCCTGGCCAAGTACAGGTGGTTTGGTGTCACACAAGTAGGTTCACAGCCCACTTCATCCCTTACTGGCTGTGCAACCTGGGCAAGGTGCTTAACCTCTCTGAGGCTGCATTGGCTCATTTGTAGAAAGAAGGTTCTATCTCTACTTTGGAATGAAATGTGGCAGTGGCCTAGCACCTGGCTAGGACTCAGTGAAGAGTGCTGTTATAATCATTTGTCCACATGGACTTTGCAGACAAAGAATCCTATTAGATCTCATCAAGCTCCTTGGGAAAGGACCACCAGGTCCTTGGAAGCATGACTGTGGAGTGGAAGTTGGGAATGGGTTTGGAGTCTTACTGATCTGGTCTTAAGGATATGTGGATGACTTCCTGCACCAACTCTCCAGCATAAGACACTGCTCCAGCATTTGGACAGAGAACAAGCCTTTCCCACCCTTCAAGTCATTTGATCTTCGCACAAACCAGAGAGACAAGTGTGTGCAGAAGCTGATTATGTAGGGGAACACTGTCCTCTAGAGTAGTTAAGAACCTGCCCAAGGTCACACAACTCACAAGGTCATCCAGCTACAGGTTGGATGAACTTATGGTACAGCTGTCCTCAAGCCCTCTCCAGAGCTGGCAGATCATGTGTAAGTGGATGCGAAGGCCTCCCCATCGCAGTTCTTAGCTGGAAGTGCCCTTGGTGAGTTGGCTCAATTGTGCCCTGACTGGAAAGAGGCATACTGGTGCCCAGGAAGGTTAAGAGCTATGAGAGGGATTGAGTGTCAGCTCATTGCTCTTCCCTCTGCTGTCCTTGTGCCAGGTTTTCCATGTCATCGTGTTTTACATGACATAGGGTGGTGGTTGAGGCAATGACGTTGCATGAGTGCAAATTTCAGCTCTGTCATTTATACCTGGGTAACACAACCTCTCTGTGGTTCAGGCTCCTACCCTGTTCCCGTGCATAATAACGGGGTCTGGCTGGGAGGACCACATCAGTTAATACATATAGAGAACTTAATATAGTGTTCCGTGTGTCTCAAGTAGTCTGTAATAGCTATGATTTCATTATCTTTATTCGCAGCAAAGGAACATTTTAGTACCTCCAGACAAATAAGCCAGTCCTGATGGGCTTACCTGTGTGTTCCATGTTGTTCCCATCAATAACATGAGCACATGATGCATGGATCAGAGAGGGAACCCTACCCATCCACAAATAGGGATCTACACTGCATATAAAGCCGTAAGCAAGATAGTCCGTGTCCGCATAACAGATGTGAAAGGATTCTTGCCATTTCTGCCAACACCTGCACTGTTATTTTCCTTAACGTTTTCCTTTAAAGAATCCTATTTCCTTAATGTATTTGCAGAAAAAGCAAACTCTCTGGCACTACTGAAAATAAGAATCAGTCACCTTGCAGACATGGAAGGTAGCCACACAGTTATATACATCCCTCTGTATCACTTCTATTGCTCTCCGGATTGACGTTGTTGACATTTGTTTTTGTTTAAAGATTTCAAACAGTGAAGAGGTGCTGAAGACATAGTGGGGGTGAAGGGAAGTTTTATCACTGACCTCTTTTTCTTGAAAAGCTGAGTGGCTTCACACCTGCAGCACACTTTCACTCTCTGTCCTGGGCTAGTTACTTATCTCCTTGTGTTGTCCTTGTCTGATGAGTAAGATGCTGTCATAAAGAGTATTTCCCTTGAGGGTTGCTGTGAGGGTTGAAACAGCCAAAGTGACTAAACAGGGTCTGGCTGAGTCCAAAAGCTCCGTAATAGTTAAGAATCCTGAAAGTAATAACTACTTTTCATGCTTCTTAATTTAATACAAGGGTGAGTACATCAGGAAAATGATCCCTCCCTTGGGAACATTCCAAGTTTTGGGAAGCTCCATCCTTGGGCTTGGTGGGCCAGCTAGGCTGTGGGAAGCCCCAAGAAGTTACAGCAAAGGAGGATGTGGACAAATGTGCCCATTACTTTCCCAGGAGTGGGGAATGGAATGGAGGGAAACAGGACACTATGTCTGCTCTGTTGCTATGAATAAGATAAACGTGGCCAAAGGACCTGGGTGGCAATGCAGGTGAGGCAAAGGTCACATGGGAGGCTGGTCCTCTGCACACAACTCCTTCACGGCACTTCTCTATCTGGGGATGCAAGCACTAGGCTGGGGTTGCACATGGACTCCAACAGAGGAGAGGCTCATGTCACTGGTGCAGGGTGCTGGGCTGGGGACACCGCGACCACCTGAGGCTGGGTTACCGGACCACACAGGGGCAGGAGTGGACCGCAATCTCTGAGAAATTCGGGTGGGCCAAGATTATAGCAGGGACACCGCCTACCACCAGGCACGCAGCCCCTTCAAAGTGAGTGGAGGTCAAAGGGCTGCCCCGGGGGTGCGCACCAGCCGTGCTAGGGAGGATCCTCCACTTGGCCTACCAGCCGCGCACAGCCGTGCCCTGAACCCAGGGCACCTCTGACACTGCGGGAGCCAGAGCCAGACCTGGGGCGAGACCTCTGCACCCGGCAACTCTCCCTAACTACAAAGCCAGAGGGGGGCTCCTGGGCCCTCTGTTCCACCTCCCACTGGCTTGCCCGCTTCTTCACCTCTGGCATAGGTACTCCAGCCTCACCTGCTCTCCAGATGGACCCCAACTGCTCGTGCGACACTGGTAAAGTTTGCCAGGTTTCCGGGCCTTTAGGACCCCCGATTTTTAATGGGGGATTTAAAAATGCAGGAGGCAGGTGCTTTTTGAGCTTTACCTAAAGTGGATTTTTTTTTTACTTTGTACTTCTGATGCTTTTTTTCTTACCAAGGACCTTTATTATTATCACTGAAAACCTTGCCATTGCCCCAGTGCCTCCCATTTCCAAGGAGAGAGGAATGAGGCTCAAAACTGCCCCTACTCCAGGTCACCCATAGGCCATAGGTGTGCTGAGCTGGGACCCAGTGCTCTGTCCAGCATTTGAGCTGCCTGGGCTGGTAGGGAGGTGGGAGACATTGCTTCTTCAAGATTCCCCTCTTAAGTCTCTATGTGGTATGAAAAAGAGGGCACCTGCCCATCTGAGCCTGTGGGGAGGAAAGGCGGGCTTCATGTGCCTGGATGGAACAAGGTAACAGGTTTCCTGTGCAGTGAGCAGGAGGATGCTGAGGGGCTGCTTCTAACCCTGTACCACACTCACTGCTCACTGCCTTTTTCTCTTCCCTGCAGGTGGCTCCTGCACCTGCACCAGCTCCTGCAAATGCAGAGTGCACCTGCACCTCCTACAGGAAGAGTGAGTTCAGGGCTTTCCCTGAGAATCTGGGGGCTGCACAGAGTCAGAGGAGAGAATCCAGAGCCTGGCAGGCAGGAGCAGGACAGTGACCACCTTCCACATCTGCTTTCCTGGCAACTGATTCAGGATCACAGCTGGAAAAACACAAGATGGTTGATTCCCAACTTTCATTCTTAAAATAGGGAAACTGAGGCCACACGAATGCACCAGCCTGCCAAGCACAGACCTGATACCTCAGGACTTTTCTCACTTAAGTGAATGGTTCTGGGGAACTGGTTTTCCTTTGTCCCTGTAGCCCCAGCCACTGCCTCTCCAGTCTTCTGTCCTCTCCTGGGCATAGGTTGTGCTGGGCAGCTTTTTCACTGGAAGACTCTCACTCCAAAGATCCAGTTGACTCCTGGCAGAGCAATGCTGCCCTGAACTAAGGGTCCTCTGGAGCTGGAGGTAGGGCTTGAGCCAGGCCTCTGTTGGGGCAAAGAGGTCTCCAGTCAAGTCTGCTCTGACCTCTGACTGTCCCCTTCTTCCCCAGGCTGCTGCTCCTGCTGCCCTGTGGGCTGTGCCAACTGTGCCCAGGGCCGCATCTGCAAAGGGGCATCAGAAAAGTGCAGCTGCTGCGCCTCATGTCAGGACAGCCCTGCTCTCAGATACAGAAAGAATGACCTAAACAAATTTGGAATTTTTTTTCCAGACAACCATGGCCTTACTATATTTGTCTCTCTTTTATAAAATACGTGAGTGATAATAAAAGTTGTTGTCTTTATTCTGGCTCTGGTTTTCTTTGTGTGCCTTGGAAATAGGGGACCCCATACTCAACAGAGCTGGCATGGGTGATTGCATTGTCCAGAGATGTGGGTGCTGGGACCATGTCCTATCATCCTGCATGCTGAATGGCTTACGGAAAATCAGGTTCCCTGTCTCAGGTCACCTTTTCA